CATGTTCTTCTTCCTGCTCAACCTGGCCCTCACTGACCTGGGCTCCATCTGCACCACTGTCCCCAAAGCCATGCACAATTCCCTCTGGGACACCAGACACATCTCCTACGCTGGATGTGCTGCTCAGCTCTTTTTCTTTCTGTTCTTCATTGGAACAGAATATTCTCTACTCACCATCATGTGCTACGACCGCTACGTGTCTATCTGCAAACCCCTGCACTATGGGACCCTCCTGGGCAGCAGAGCTTGTGCCCACATGGCAGCAGCTGCCTGGGCCAGTGGCTTTCTCAATGCTCTGGTGCACACAGCCAATACATTTTCCCTGCCCCTTTGCCATGGCAATGCCCTGGGCCAGTTCTTCTGTGAGGTACCTCAGATCCTCAAGCTGTCCTGCTCCAAATCCTATTTCAGGGAACTTCATGGCTTTCATGGGCTTCTTGCTGTAGGTGCCTGTTTAGCTTCTGGATGTTTTGTGTTCATTGTTTTCTCCTACGTGCAGATCTTCAGGACTGTGCTGAGGATCCCCTCTGAGCAGGGACGGCACAAAGTCTTTTCCACCTGCCTCCCTCACCTGGCCATGGTCTTCCTGTTCCTCAGCACTGGCTTTCTTGCCTACCTTAAACCCCTCTCCATCTCCTCCCCATCTTTGGATCTGGCACTGTCAGTTCCGTACTCGGTGGTGTCTCCAGCCCTGAACCCTCTCATTTACAGCATGAGGAACCAGCAGCTCAAGGCTGCAGTGTGGAGACTGATCACTGGATGGTTTTAGAAACAGTAAGTAGCTTCCCTGTTTCAGCAAATGGCTTCCAATAAAAATCGTCTTTGATAGTACTTGTTTTGTTTGGTCATCAAATTCCTCTTTTATTTCCTTTTTTAAAAATATTTTAACATATTTCACATAGAAACGCCATTCTTTCTGCCATATTTCATTTTGTTTCTCCCCATGATTACTGTGACCAGAGACTGTCAATGAGGGGCTGCACTCTCATTGGCTTTAATGAACTAAATAATCTCTATCCTAGCAAAGTTTTCTCCAGACATGCCCCTTCTGTTCCCTTCTCTGGAGCTGCAGCAGCAATGTCTGTGTG